ATGTCTCAATGTCCCCATGTCCCCCAGTCAGTGTCTCTAGTATCTTTGTCCCTGGTGTCTGTGTCCCCATGTCTTCACGTGTCCCCTATTTTCCCATTGTCCCCATGTGTCCCCCTAGTCTCCCAGTGTCACTGGTGTCTCCTTGTCCCTAGGTCTCCCCGTGTCCCCAGGTCTCCCCGTCTTCCTAGTGTCCTAGTGACATGGGGACCCTGGGATACATGGGGACACAGGAAGACATGGGGCATTGAGACACTGATACATAGGATCACTGGGAGACCTGGGGACACAACATTAGGGGACACTGGGAGACATGGGGCACTGAGACACTGATACATAGGAACACTGAGACCTGGAGTAATCGACACATGGGGGCACTGAGTCATGAGGGCACTGGGAGACATGGGGGCACTGGGAGGAATCCATCTATACAGCAGATTTAAACTAAGTAGTTTTTTGGTGATTTTACAGCATTTTCTGTTATGTCACTCCTTGTGATTTACATCATGTGATGTCACCCACACATATTTAATTATGCAAATTAGTAAGGCCGGTATGTTTTTCCAAGAAAGGTGGCAACCCTAACTACTTTTCACATACTCTTACTTAAGTATCGAAACTTAAGAGGGATGTATGGGAACAACATTTGTGTGGACTGGCTGACAATGAATATAGGTAAATAAACACTATAGTCACCAGAACAACTACAGCTTATTGAATTTGTTCTGGTGAGTAGAATCATTACCATCAGGCTTTTTGCTGTAATGGTCATGGTCTTTTCAGAGAAAATGCTGTGTTTACATTACATAACTTCACTGGCTACATGACTGTTAGAGATCCTCCCTGGGTCATGGCTGCCTAAAATGCATCCAAACATTCAGTATCTCCTCCCTCTGCATGCAGACACTGAACTTTCCTCATAGAGATTCATTAATTAAATTCATCTATATAAGGAGATGCTGATTGGTCAGGGCTGTGTTTGAATCATGCTGGCTCTGACCCTGATCTGCCTCTTTGTCAGTCTCAGCCAATCCTATGGGAAAGCACTGTGATTGGATCAGGCCACCACTTCTAATGATGTCAGCAGACTGCTTGTTTTTATGAGCCTAACAGCATGCAGAGTTACAGCTTCAGGCTTGAATATAGTAGGATTTTGCTATATTTATGGAGGCATGTGGGGCCCAGGGGGCTAGATGGTGGTGTTAACACTATATGGTCATGAATTCATGTTTGTGTTCCTGACCCTATAGTGATCCTTTAAGGTAATGCTGACTTTGGTCTCTCTAACACTGTGGCATGTTCCCTTTCTTCTACACTCACTACATACAGCTTTTCTCTGTCCCAGACCATATACCAGGAGCTTCTGCCTGCTAGTAAGAAGGTTAGGAGACAAGTGGACCAGCGAGTGCTAGGGGCAGTCCTTAGAAAGCGTTGAGCGAGCGCATCATTAGATGCATTTATGCCAAGCTCAGGGTGCTGTCTGCATAGTATGCCCTTTGTTGGCCAGCTGCATGATTGGCAGGCAGCCTGACATGCATTCATGCCAGGCTGGCCTTCTAATTCTTTGAGCAGACATGTCCTCTTTTTGGGCATGTTCGCCCCTTTTGGCAGGTTACGTGATTTGTGTCAGTGGCACACCCTTTTACCATGCCCATTGACTTCCTGCTTGACTGGGCACTGCTGTTAGGGGTTATGGATTACTTGAAAGATGAAAACATAAATTAGAGAGAGATTAGCCTAGGGTATGTGTTTTCTTATAGCTGCTGTTTTCTTTCTCTCCAGCACCATCTCCATCTACATCAGATACATGATGCTTGGGAGTGTTTTACTGTTTTTGGTCGATATGATTCTGTAATTAGGCCCGTCATAATTGTCAGCACCAGGCCCACTGGGCTCTTAATCTGGCCCTGCTGGAGACCGTATCTCCAGAAGGATATTGATACTTTAGAGAGAATTCAGAGAAGGGCTACTAAACTGGTTCATGGATTGCAGGATAAAACTTACAAGGAAGGTTAAAGGAACTTAACATGTATAGCTTGGAGGAAAGACGAGACAGGGGGGATATGATAGAAACATTTAAATACATAAAGGGAATCAACACAGTAAAGGAGGAGACTATATTTAAAAGAAGAAAAACTACCACAACAAGAGGACATAGTCTTAAATTAGAGGGACAAAGGTTTAAAAGTAATATCAGGAAGTATTACTTTACTGAGAGGGTAGTGGATGCATGGAATAGCCTTCCAGCTGAAGTGGTAGAGGTTAACACAGTAAAGGAGTTTAAGCATGCGTGGGATAGGCATAAGGCTACCCTAACTATAAGATAAGGCCAGGGACTAATGAAAGTATTTAAAAAATTGGGCAGACTAGATGGGCCGAATGGTTCTTATCTGCCATCACATTCTATGTTTCTATGGAGCGTGCCTTTAAACAGTTTAATCGTTTGACCTCAAGCACCTGACACTAATGCACAGCTTTATGCTTCCATGAAATGAGGACGGTTTAGCCTATCAAGCTGAGAGCAATAGAATACAGTGGTACCTCGGTTTACAAATGCCTCGGTTAACATAATTTTTGGTTTACAAATGAAAATCCATTGAAAATAACGCCTCGGTTTACAAAAATTTTCGCAATACGAAGCAAGTTTCTCCAGTATGCATTGCACCTGAGAGGTTTATAGCGCCGCCCCCTGCATGCTGGAGCCTGTGGGTAGCACGTGGCGTTGAGTGTGAAGGTGTTGGAGCAGTTTTTGCATCGGGTTTTGGAGCCATTCTGGAATTTTTTTGCAGGGGTTTTGGGATGTTTTGGAAATTTTGGGTGCATTTCTCAAGCGATGGTAAGGTAGGGATCTGATCTTCATCATACGCATGCCTTTTACTGTGTGTTCTGCATTGTGGGTTGATTTCCATGCCAGCTCCTTTTGACTTTTTTTCTGACCTCCGGAATGGATTAATGGGTTTTCAATGCATTCCAACGGGAAACCACGTTTCAGTTTACTAATTTTTCGCAGTACAAAGCGTCCCAGAGAACGCATTAAATTCGTAAACCGAAGTCCCACTGTATACTATTGCTGACACTCTCAACCTATCACTGGCTGCTCGACTTAACTTTCCTCATGCTAAGGGAGGCGGTGAGAAATAAAATGAGTGTGTTTAGTTGTGTAGGATGGCAGAGCCCCAAATTCAAGGTTGAACCATTTCAAAACTGTTTAACCCTTGAAGGTAAGATGGCGCCCAAACACTGCTGCTCCCATAACAACTTAAATAAGCTTCAGTTGTTAATGTGGTTTGAGTGTTGGATTATTTCTTTCTTTTGCCATCCCAGATTTTATGAGGGCAGCTCTAATTTTATACATACATTTATTTATTTTCATATTAAAAAATAAAATAAAAAATAAATCGCCGAGCTATAATCTTTTTTTTTTTTAAACACCAAACACTGACATATTGAGAAATATAGTACTAGGTTAGGGGGTATGAAGTTATGTTGTAAAATGAGCAAAGTAGGGCAGATTTAAGCCTCTCTGTATATCTAAAACAGGTTTAATGGCCACAGTCGTTGCTGTTATATACACAATAGTAGCTTTAATCAAATAAAACAGCTGATAGTGTTATAATATTGTTTTTGAAGTATTTTTAAGGATGGGTATAGATTCAATATCAATCATCACACTATTTATACAGCTTTTTACAGCACTGCCATTCTCCGTTTGGGGGAAAAAAATGATAACTATTCCTGTAAACCAAATATTTGGCATTTTACAACAATATATTGTGAGAGCGTATCTGTGTGGGACAAAGGGTATGGTGGTGGAAAACACAGTTTATTTTTGAAACAGTTATCAAGTGACTTTTATCTTTTGAGTACAATTTCCTACTCCTCTGGAAACTTAGTTAAACTGCTCATTGGATCAGATGGTTATATAGCACAAACAGATTAATTGGAACCTCTTGCTTGATATTTAAAATGCAGGTGTTCACATAGTGATGTCATACTAATCTTGTTTGAGATTGTATTGTTACACATATTTGTTAGGCCTTCTTAAAGGAGAAACTCCCTGAACGGCCAGTGAATACTCTCAACAAATGTCTCAAGATGACATTATTATCTACAGAGCTTGTAAAGAGCAAACAGTTACAACATTTTAAATTTGGTAGATATAATGTAAACTGAAATAATCTTGTAGTAAATTACAATAGGTTAGATCGTGTTCTCTGTCCATTGTTACCCTTCCTCTATTGTTTCCTACAAATATAATTTCCTTCCAAGTAGATTAGGAGATTTTAAATGTTAGATTGTATATCGTGTGCACACTGTATAATATTATCAAAACATTTAACACTTTAAGATTATACTCCATTGTGAAAATAGAGTGACAAACACCCAAAAGGGGAAAAAGAAAGTTATAATAAATAGTTTAGGCAAAAAAAAAGTATGTACAACAGATCAACAAACAAATACAAAAGAAAATAAATAGTATATTGATATAAATTATTTTTATATTATTTTGGCATATGTAATTTAGAGCATAGAATATCTGTATGGAGTCGCTTTGTGTCGCCATTGTACAGCGCTGTGTAATTTGTTGGCGCTTTCTAACTAATAATAATAGTAAATATTAATAATAAGTAAGTATACTGTTTGCTTTCCCCTCTATAGGGAACAGTGCAGCAGAATATGTTGGCATTTTATAAATAAATAAATACAGTTGGAGCTCCAGCTCTTCTCTTTTTTTGATATCTTTATTAGATTGCAAACTCTGATGACTCACTCCACTAGATCAGCATCAGTCAGACTCTGAGGGGTCCCTGAAGCGTGTGATATTTTACTTAGGGGCAGGGTGTGAAAGAACAAGGGATTTGTTTTCCTCCCATTAAGAAAAGGTCACTTTTTACAAATCAGCATTCACAGTTGCTCCTCCCCAGACAGCTGACAGGATAGATCCCTCCCAAGTGCACATAGAGGGGCTTTTATCTCCATCTCCCACACTCCCTGAATTAGCTCTTACTCTGCCTGAACTGGCTGTACGGGACAATGCTCGGCAGGCACGGGAAGCTGACACTAGGGGCGCTCTCCGGTGCAGGTAAGGAATGCCATCTGGGATGAGAGAATGTAATGCATACAGCAAGGGTCCAGGGAAGGCCTACAACTCCTAATTCACTAATCAATTATAAAACTTTAACACTTGTGTTTTTGTTTGTTGCTGCCAAGCCTTTGACAGCTAATGGTTAAGTATGTGGTTGTTGTCTTCATTTTGCTGTGCAGATGTGCTAGAATTGTGCTTTGCTTGTGTCTCTTAAAAAATATTGTGAGTTGGTTGATTAGCCCTTTATTGCCATAGTGAGCAATGCATTGCATTCACATCTGGAAAGCAGATGGTCAAAACAGTTGCTCTTTTAAACTCAATTGCTTAGTGTGCCATTACTTCTGTTTGTAACATACTGTAGCTCGTCATATATACTATTTGGGAATGTGTCTAGCCTGTCAAAGGAACATTGCCTCGTTTACCTTAAGCCATTATGGTGCTGTTTTAAAACTAGTGGGTAGCTGATAGTGCTTCTTATCCTACAGTTTCTTTCCTAGATTTATTTTGTAATGTTAACAAAGGATTTATGAGGGGGAGCAATATGGTGGGGCACATGTTTGCTTGTGTGGTATAGCCATAGACTAAAATCATTTTGCAAAGAGGAACATGTTACAGTACCATTTATATAAAAGTAGGTGCATTTTATGAGATGAGAAATTTGTGAGGGCATCACTTATTTTGAGCATGTCTCAGAAACAGTCTGCAATAACATGTAATGAGGCCTGTTCAACAACAGCAAGACATAAATTAACAACTGATATGCTCAATGTAACAAAATAATGGATGTTTATTCCAGCTCCATGGCATCTTGCTGTTTAATTAATTAAGGATGAAAATGCAGTTTCAAATGTGTGTTAAGTTGTGTCCTAGAAACATAGAATGTGACGGCAGATAAGAACCATTAGGCCCATCTAGTCTGCCCAATTTTCTAAATACTTTTATTAGTCCCTAGCCTTATCTTATGGTTAGGATAGCCTTATGCCTATCCCACGCATGCTTAAACTCCTTTACTGTGTTAACCTCTACCACTTCAGCTGGAAGGCTATTCCATGCATCCACTACCCTCTCAGTAAAGTAATACTTCTTGATATTACTTTTAAACCTTTGTCCCTCTAATTTAAGACTATGTCCTCTTGTGGTAGTTTTTCTTCTTTTAAATATAGTCTCCTCCTTTACTGTGTTGATTCCCTTTATGGATTTAAATGTTTCTATCATATGCCCCGTCTCGTCTTTCCTCCTAGCTATAAATGTTAAAATTCTTTAACCTTTTCTGGTAAGTTGTATCCTGCAATCCATGAACCAGTTTAGTAGCCCTTCTCTGAACTCTCTCTAAAGTATCAATATCCTTCTGGAGATACGGTCTCCAGTACTACGTACAATACTCCAAGTGATGTCTCACCAGTGTTCTGTACAATGGCATGAGCATTTCCCTCTTTCTACTGCTAATACCTCTCCCTATACAACCAAGCATTCTGCCAGCATTTCCTGCTGCTCTATTACATTGTCTGCCTACCTTTAAGTCATCTGAAATAATTACCCCCTAAATCCCTTTCCTCAGATGTTGAGGTTAGTACTGTGTCAGAATATATACATTTACACATATATATTGTACTTCTGATGATATGCAGGCTATTCCACAATTTACAATTATTTTACAATTGTAGAATAGGGATAAGTGACAGCAAGTAGTTAACATACAGAATATTAAAACAGTTATTTTAACAACTAATTTTTCCTTAAAATAACTTTAAATAAAATTAATTTATTATTACTATTAGATGTTCTTTCTTTTGGAAGTCAACGGGCAGTGATACATTCTATTAAAGTATTTTATTGTTTTGTAAATGTGTATGGAAAAGAGATTTATTTACTAAAAGGGCAATTGCAGTCATATGAAAACTAATATTGTAAAATTAACCTCAAACAGGAGGAAAAAAACGAACTAGTTCATTTATAGTACTAACTAGATGGTTTTAGCGTAAATTTAGCAAATACCATGTTTCAGTTGACCACAGTTCACTGTTTAGTAAGTATGCTTTTTATCCCACCCGGCCTGGTGATTCTTACCCTGTGGTAAAAGTCACCCCCATATAGACTTTGTTCTTTTGTTCTCTGTGACCGTGCTAAGTGATTCTGAATTAATTACTGCACTAGTATTTGGTGACTCTCACGCTCTGTGAACCCAGCGCCCCTTTCTGCTGTAATACTTTACATTCCTATGCGGCCTGCCACCCACCAGCTTCAGAGCATGACCTCTTGTTTAGCCTAAACTTTATCTGGAGCTCTGCTGTTGTTCTGGAATAATGACTCATCCTACTTTTTCACGTTTTAGAATAAAAAATCAGCCAATTAGGATTCACTTCACTTTCAAGACATCATATTTTCTGCAAGTGATTTTCAGGAACACTCTAGGAACCAACACCACTTAATGTCAATAAAGTAGTTGTGGTGCCCATAGTCCACCAGCGCCTTCGTACCTTTTAGTGTTAAGCCATTTTTGAATGGTTAGGCACTTAAGTCAGGCTTACTGTACTCCGCATTTACTTGAGCAACGGTGATGGACACTATCACTGGCCAGCATGTGATGCTTCAGAAATAAATGAGTAAAGCATTATTTGCTATTAACTATCAGCGATAGTATGACACTCTCAATATGTCTTTGAGAGCTGTAGAGGGGAATAAGCTAGTCTGGCACCTGAGGGACTCCACTTAAGTGTTAAACCATCCACTGGCTCTTTTTTAAAGGTTAGAAGGTGCCAGTGGACTCCAGGAACCAAAACCATTTCAGTGACATGAAATGTGAGAAACACTGCAGCCTTCTCGCAAAAGTCTGGCTATGGGTTTACTGAATAGTAGTAGGAAGAAATAATGGTCTTGGAGAAAATTCTTCCAGTCTGTTATTCAATAACAATGAGACAATTACCCACAATCCCACAGATCCCAAGTTGAAAAAGACTTGCACTCTTGATCAGGGACACTTGGGAGGTATTCTTCATGTTTTCTAGTTTGTGATCTTTGCTGAATGAAAGATGAACCCTTATATTGAAGATCTACAAATGGGTTTCATTAGGTATAAATATTTCTCCTTTATACTAATTACTCTCCCTATTGACTCTACATCTGGTTGGCCTTTGCCATTATGAGGTAGATGTCTACAATAGCTTTTAAGCAGAATTGCTAAGGGCAAACATGGCACTGAAATTGAAAGACTAGGGACTTTTAGAGAAACAAATGTTATGAGCTATTGGGTAAACATTAGACACACTAATTGGTTCTTATCTGTTTGTCTGTATCTTTAGAAGTAAAAACACAAAGATCCTTTCTTTTTATACCAAAGATAAAAGATCATATCCCATTGTAGCCATTGCTTTTCTTGTAAATTACAGTAAGTGTGTAATAAAAAAAAATGGCATAGTTGGCATAGTATAATGTTATTTTTTTTTTTTTTTGTACAAATTGTTTAGATTTTTTCGACCCAACAAAAACATAATAAATAAAACATTTTCAGCAGTTCAGTTTCAGAGGCACTGTTTTGGAGACTATTCACCAAATGCACCATGCTTTCCATTTTGCAAATCCACCATTGAATTGATCTGAATGAGGTCTGATTATTTAAAAAAAATAGCTTACTAGGTCAAAATTTGCTTGTAAATGAGGTCCCAAGCAATTATCAATTTAGTCCTAAATTAGAGAAATAAATCTTCAAAGTAATAATAAGATAACGATAGATAAAAAAAAAGCAGTAAATAAAAGGAAATAGTTGCATGCCCCCCTATCCTCACTCCTGGTGGCAAAATTAGGGTTAATAAAAACGAGCTTTGTTCATCTGTCAGGTACTTTAAATGAATACTTTCTGTTTCCTATTTGTTCTCATAGTGTGCAATTTCTTTCTTACAGTAGCATTGGGATTTGGTATAGGTAGTAAAATGGAAAGTGGATTTTACAGAGTGATTGTGTGAGGGAATACTGAGTGAGCATCTATCTGACTGTTAAAATTACTGGGAACACCTAAGCGACCAGTGGCCCTGGGCAGTTACTTGAGACAACATGGCAACAAGGAAATGGCTTGCTACAATGAGGCTGTCTCTGGGAGGAAAGGAGTTGTTTAGAAAATCAGGCATTGTGGGCTGAATAGTTCAGTCTGTCTAGTCTATCAGCAGACGGTTTAGAGAGGATCAGAGAGATGGCAATGGTGAGACGGGTGTGCATTAATGTCTTGTCATAAAGTATGCCAAAAACATGAGATCAGACAGAGGAACATATGATAAGAGATTTAAGATATGGCTTAAAAAACAGTGTGTCTTGTATATATGTGTGTGTAGCTCTGTAACACTTTATGTAACCATTGTGCAGGACTGCGGAATATGTGGACACTTTGTAAATAATATACATATTTATCATTGCATTCATTCCATCTTTTTAAAACAATGCAGTGGAAATGCCATCTTATGCTGTAACAGTGCTACTCTCATAAAACACAACATTAAAGAAGCATTCCTAATTTCAGCACTCTGTATAATAGGAACATTGGGGTTATAGAAAGTATTTACATTGGAGAGTACTTAGTGTTTGCATGTACATACTAACATAATACCCCTAATTCCAGTTTTAGTGTATAGGGTATTATCTACATGGATTTGGAGAATATTCACCCTCAAGCTGTTGTGAACTGTCTCCCCTGTCATTCTCCGTCAAGAAAAACTGAGAATGATAAGTGTTAACTGTCCACAGTGTATCACTTGTCAACATAAGCTTTTGCAATAGTTTATTTGGAGAGATATACGACTCTTGTTATGTAGCACAGATAATTAATCTCAGCAAAATTATAATTTTCAATCTGCCCTTATTACGCTGCCATTCTTAATTGTGGTTTATGATTACTTGTCAACTGATGTGCACATGGTTTAGCATAGAATGGTTGCCATGGTGGCTCTATATAAGCTCTTTGGCCTGTGGTCAGTGGATGAGGATTATTAATTTAGTGACCCCAGTAGTATTTTACAAAGTTCAACCTGTGTAAAAACATAAGGATACCTTTATGCATGTTATTTATTAAACACACATTTTAGACAGTTTAAACAAACAAACAATAAAAATTGCTTTTATCATAACCTTGATGAAGTCGTATGTCACAGTAGATAACACTATGAGTGTCCTAGCAAATATATTTTTTTGCCAAAATAAGCAAGAGGCTTATTGAATGGCAAATTTAAGCAAGAGAACTCATTGGGTGAGATTGAAACCTTGGGGTCTATTAAAAAAACAAACAAAAAAATAAAAACAACCAAAGGGGAGGAGAATCTCCAAGAGAGCTACAAAGTCACCTTTTACAGCACAACTCGGGTTTGGTTAAAGCTGGGTTCAACAAGAATTTTAGCTGAGTGGATATTACAAATTTAGTATCTTGGATATTGAGCAAGCTCTGTTTTTAACCAACTTGAAAATCAAGCCGGCCCAATTGTACATTTCACGTTATATATTCTTGATGTACATATATAACTAAATAAAGCCACATGCATTTATCTTCCATAGAGATTATCCTACAAAGCAGTAAAAACACAAGTAAGTAAAGGGAAAATAGAGGGGGAAAAACTCTGGATCTCTTGTGGCAACTATGTTAACTGGGGTCTCCTCATCACTGATACCATGCACAAAATTTAGTGGCCTGTAAAAAAAAAAAAAAACAGGGTTCCTGAACTCTTCTTCGACTACGGATACTCACCAAGTGTTCTCATTGCCTTACGCAATGCCTGACGGACACTTGGTGTCATGATGTGGTGGTGTGTAGTTAGGACACAACATTATAAATGAGCAGAGGGCTAAGTGGACAGACATATTTTATCCTATTTCTGGAATAAGAGTCCTTAGAGACCAATGGATAGAGCCATTTGGATGATGAAGGGGTCTACATGAATTATTTGGGGGAAATGTCTGGATCCCTATTATTGTTAGAATACCCACTCTGTTTCACATATTATTAAGAAACACTTCTCGTTTATTTATTTTTTAAACTCTGTGCCCTGAAGTCTTATTTTCCTACATCGACACTCTGGATGTTGATGCTTTTTGTATTGTTTTACAAATTAGATGGAAGATGATCAGTTTAGCTGTATCTGCTGGACTCTTACCCCATAACCCAGGAGAAAGGACTCCTATTGAGAAAAAAAAAAAATAGAAAAATCTGGCTAATGCATATTGGGTATCAGTTATCAGCATAGGAGAGCATATTAAATGGCCTCCTGCAGGTGTTAGTGTGAGCTATTAATGTAAGGTCAATTAAGTATAGCATTTGCAAGAAGCCCGGGGGCACACAGTACTTGTAGTATATGTTTTCTCTAAAGCCCGAGGAGTTAAAATGACTCCATAACTGGTTATTGCTCATGTAGTGGGTAACCCAAAAGGGTTAAATGTCACTCTAGTTAACAAAACACTTGGAAAAGGACAGGAGGGAAATTCTAGCATGGAAAACTAGTTTTTAGTGAAAGATCAATAAACACAGTTCTGTGTGGCTGAGAGGAATATGTCATAAAACTGTCTCTAAAATAAGTATAAAAAAATAGGCATAGGTAAGCAGTAAATGGCGGGGTTTAAGCCATATGGATGTGACACAACCTTTTAGATGGAGGCAGAGCACAGTTGGCTTTTGTTTCTTAGGCTGCATTAATGAAGGGTCCCCCAACCACCAACTGCACAGGATGCTTCTGAGCAATAAAACAGCAGAATCTGGAGGCTCAGAATACCAGACACACCATACATTCCCACAGTACGGTGATGGCTGAACCTTGGCATAGTAGCTGTTTTTGGTTCAGTTTTTGTTAAAATCCAAAAAATGGTTCCATTCTGAGCACAAAGGTAGAGCAGAGTTTAGCAACATTTCTTTAATTAAAATGTATGTAATCCCCTACCACTGCCTTTAGGCTAGGGGTAGGGATTAAACTCCACTATACCACTAAATATCAACCCAAATCTAAAGGCGGGAGTATAAGCTTTATTTTGGTTAAATAAGGGAAGAATTTCAGGTAGAAATCCAGCAGAATTCTTGCCATGCTGTGTCCAGAATAGAACTTGTGTCAGTAACAAGGGTATAATAGATATGTACCAACTTCTTATTGATGTAAAAATGTCTGCCTAATTACCATTATAATATAACGGTAATGATAGTCAATATGTAGTGGACAGGGCTTCACACTACTCGTTTTATGGAGTCTCATTCCTTGCAGATTGTCGAAGAACTGTGTCCTTCCCCAGATATTTATTTAACAATTCTTTAACAATGCCTTTGTCAAGAACACTTTAGATACTTTAGCAGTCTAATAATAATTGATAATTAAGTTGTAAAATAGACATTAGTTTAGAATACAATGAATTATAAAACAATTAGGTTACATAGAACAAGAAGATAATGTATGATAAGCAATAACTAAATGGCTTATCAGAATATTCTCGTGGAGGAAAAGATGGATCCACTGAAGGAGAGGTCACTGGGACAATGGATATTCTGTAGGTTGGCTTTTAACACTTTTAAATGCATGATGTAACTATAAATTCCATTGCATGTAGTGTATCTTTTGGTGTGTGCCCTTTTCGCACGATAGACAGAATGCACTCCTGTTGTAAATAACAAAGTCTGGGGCCTTTCGAGAAAAAATGTTGTGGGTCTCCAATCATATTAGAGTATCTAGCTGTGAGATACAGATAGCTGTGTGTTTCCATACTGGGGCAGAGAGGTATGCGTGCCCACATTATGTTCCTGTTACTGACGTCATTGGAATTGTACATTCCACAGAGAGTGTCCTGGAGACTCGGGGTTTGGGCTATGTTGTGATGTGGGTGCATTGTACCGGGGAATCCGTGAGCTGGATGCCTGCCCTACTACAAGGGCTGTGTTTTATTTTAGCCAGAGTGACTCATCAGCTGCTACATTGAGATGTGTAAAGACAGCCTCTGAATTTCCCATTATACAGCCTTAGAAATGCCATGGGTTTTTACTCTACATGTGACTCTCCTGTAATAATTCTGGATCCCCAGAAAATCGCAGGAGCACCTTATAAAAGCAATCAGGCACAAAGCAGGGGTGTAATTCGCCAAAGTCCCGGGTCTTCTCACAACAGGTACGAATAGTCAGGTTTGCTGTTAGCAGATTGGCGAGTTTTTCTGAGTTGGCAGCGAACACCCCGATTGATCAGAACAAACTGGGATAATGAGGTACAGTCTGCCCTATTTAGGAGCTCTGGAGATATTCTAAGAATTCACTCTTTATACTTTATTGTGTGATGTGTTGTGTCTGCTCTCGATGCCATTCATATGTATATAAGCCAAATCCTGCTCATTATCTGTATTGTCTGTACAGTGAATGTAGTGTGACACACTTTTTTTTGTAAGAGAATGCAGTAATGCTGCCAGTCCAGTTATTCTGCATTATCCTGCATTATCCTGCATGCTAAAGCTATCCATGTGTCATTTTGGAACTATGGCAAAAACGCTGCTTGCAACATTGTTACTGTGTAAGGAAAGCCAGAAAGGGGCGGGCCATGGCGGGACAGGGACAGTACTGGCTGGGAACAGGTGAGACTGGGCAGGTATTAGGTAGGTAATGGAGTAAAGTGCAAGGGGGCCGGGCCAGCACAGTGAGGAGGGCTTTTAAAGAAGATTGCCTTCATACCATCGTTAGTCAGTCAGTCACTCATGTACTCTCTCACAGCACTCCTACACTCATTAAGGTATGTGTCTTCATTTCTAATGTATCTGTTTCTTCTTCTATAGTATGTATATATTTATACACAGGGCTCCCATTTTCTGACAGTCAATTTACTTGAGACTAGTGAGAATATAATTTAGACAAGTCAAATGTTAGCCTTAATATTGCAGTGCTTCTAGAAATAATTACGGACTAGTAATTATTTATATATATATATATATATATATATATATATATATATATATATACACACACACACACACACACACACACACACTGAATAACTGAATATATAAAATTTTAAACAAAAACTCTTAATTAGAAAAATAAAATCCAAATTCATTTATATTACCAATTTGTTCATTCTTGTGTAAATTGTGCAATTTCGTTTTCTGCTTTATTCATCACAACTTCTTTTTTAGTGAATAATCATTGTGATACATTTGTCCGCCCTGTATGGTATCCATCGTATAATAGGCTATTATTTTATGTTGTATAAGTGTAACCATTAAATGATAATTACCAGTGAGTTTCATGTACATTTTCACAGTTTGTTGAGCACTTTAAGATTGAATGAAGGTTATCTGTGACAGATAACGTGTATGTGCTTAAAGGATGTAGATATGGATTGCTAGAAGTATATAGGTTATCATGTACGTTTATCTCATTATATATGCAGTATCTATAGTAATTTTTAATGCAATTTGTGTTTCCCTGGTAACTCCATATAATAATTTATTGCTTTGTCTATAAATCTCCTTATACACTTTTTTAGGATCTATGATTGTGTTCTTCCATGAATGACATAGGGGCTTTTACTGAATAGGTGGATAAAGATATTCCAATATGTGTAATATGATGGAAAGCAAAATATATAATCTTCTAGTTGTGCATAGAAGATACCCCAAAAATTAAGATAGCTTAACAGATTTTTAGTATTCTTGTTTTTTCTTGTTTTTGTTTTTTTAACAAAGATATGCTTTCAACTGATAGATATTTATACATAGTCCTACAAACAGAAGTAACAGTAAGGCATGTTTGGCTATAGGTATATGGGTGTTTTCTATATTTAACTTTGTTTTTGATTACATTTTGTCAGTTGTCATTTTACACCCCCAGATCACTGTTTAGTGAAAACACTCCATTGTATTCCTGTTTGAAGTTATTGGATGTCTACCTAGTCCTCACTTGTTTATATCTTGTAATCTTGGAAAACAATTCTGAAAATGCTGCCGAGCCTATAAATCCACTTAAAAAACTTTATAGAGTAGAGAAATTCCTCTGTCTCCATTCACCTTTAACCTGTTAAGTTGTCCATGTAATCTGTTCTCACATACTCCTGTTGTACTTTTGCAGGTAATTCTAAGGACTGTGTGCTGGTTGGCACTAGTGCCGTATATCGGAAGCTCATGGATCCTAGCTTGGATAGCTGTAACCATGTGGTCCCTAGATATGACTGTGGAAAGCATACAAGTAAAAAAGCTGCAGTGGCACGTGCACGGCTTGAGAAGTCGGAGTCAGAAGATTCAGGGGTGGAACTGCCACCAAACTCACCTTTTGGATCTGAGAAAAGCTACGGTCAGGAGGAACCTGAAAGCATAGATGTGGCATACCCTGAGGAGCAAAAGCATCTCAGAACCTCTGCCCGTAAGAAGTCAGACAGCTTTGTAGATTCTTCTTCCGAGGAGACAGATATTGTGGACTTAACCATGCCTCTTAAGATTGAGAAGTTTAAGGTCCATCGATATGGGGATATAACCCTACAGCGGGAGAGGGATATGTCCGGTTTGCCCCATAAGCTGGAGCAGGCAGTGCTCCGGAGCAGGAGACAAAGGCTGAGCAGTCGAGAACCAACCCAGAACAGGACAAACTGGAGTAACAGACACTACCAGGGTTCACTCAAGGATCAACGTAGGGGGACACCGTTATTCCACAAGACAAGAAGTCCAACCAGATCTCACAATGAAAATGAGGTGGGTAATTGATAGAGAAATTTGAGTGGTTAGAACAAAAACTTGGGGTCCCCAAGGCACTTGTAAAACAGCCCTATCTACACAGAAGCAATATTATTTAACCCATATTTTAACAATATTCATTAGCTTAGTTGGTCATCTGAAACACACACTGAACCATTGAGTAGGCACAGACACATATGGAATTAATATTGATAATATGGAAGTGGAATGTGTAATGTAGTTTTTATATTGCGTAAAGTGTTCCTTTGACATGAAGTTGTGACTGTATGTAAATGTTGCTGGGAGAAAAATAAGCAAGGACCTGGTTAAGTTCTAAATGTTCAGTAAATAGCAGGACTGTGACATTGAATTCCACAGTGATTGTCTCACTTTTGGCATTTTAACCACAAACATTGTGTTGAAGAGACCTTATTCAAGATTAACTAAATTGGATTAAAAGTACTCTCCACTGCCAAAAACAAACCACTGTTTAGTAGATATTCCCCTAATTGAAAACGTGCATGCATTTAATTATGCATTTTTTTTTTTTTCATTGGGAGTATATCTAAAAGCAGCTTGCAAAAGCTGCAGATATCTTGTCTGCTGCCTATGCAAGCCCTCCCTTTCTTTGGCTGTCAATCGCAGACTTCCAAATGCAGCTAAATGAGAAGTCTTTGCAAGGCAGGTTCTCTGGGCAATTGCTGCCTTTTGATTTTACCACCACTAAGATAACCAAACCAGGAAGTATAAGGACCTGTTGTCTGCTTGAAGGTCAGGCGGTGTAATAAGGTTAATTTATAAAAGTGCCAATTTATATTAAAAGCTGCACTTTTTTGTAAAAAAAGAAAAAGAAAAAAAGAGGACACACTCTTCACACGCAGAGTACTTCAGCAAGCTTAAATGCTAAATCAGCTTGGAGTGTGCCTTTAAACAGTTTAAAAGTTTGAAATGCATCCGTATAATAAACGTCTCCTTACTCCCATATTGCAGGAACATGATCCTTTACACCTGCCAGGAGATGGCCTGCGGTATCTGGAGAACCTTTGTGACATGCTGGAGCAGATAGCCGAACTACAGAAACAAAATCAAAGGCTACAACATGAGAAGAGACAGTCTCAGGAGAGACTGCAAAACAGAGTGAGTGTTTCAGTTTATTGAAAGGGACAGTCAACATCATAGATTCCCCTGGGTAATCAAGTTAAGGAATGGGCTGTCAGAGAAAATTATGGTTAAAGCTTTTCAGTCAAAACCTATTAATATGATGTGATTTACTTGAATATAGTGCAAGCGGGGCTGCGACACCTGTTCCTTGTGGGGATTTAAAGGTTCCCCCTGATAAAGCTTGTATGCTGCTGAAATTGTGGATTTAGTTAGTTTTCTGAGTGCAAAGCTTTCTATATATTCATACTTGAGCTGTCCCTGTGTGTGATTGTATAGCTTTGGATGAATAATACCATTCCCTAAGAGATACTTGAAAACTAGAGATATCTCAATGTATTCTCCCTGATAAAGTATCTTATAAATACATAAATCCAATGAACCAATGTTCTATTGCGCTCTTTGTGTCATTGTATTAACTTGTAATGCCAAGTACTTTGTGCTCTACAGCTCCTCCTGTGTTCTATTGTATTACAGCTATAATAGATACTAACTCAATTTAGCATTGTTCCAGTTTCTTTGTTATGATACACATATGTTTATAAAGTATTACATGGTTATTCACTTCTAAGTGAGAATCAAAAGTGAGTTTCAAATTTAAGGTGAAAATACTGGAAAAATTCTCCAATTGAGGTATGCTTCAAATTCAGCTACTTAAACTTTAAATTCGAAATTCACTTTTTATTCTCACTGTAGTGCATAACCATGTATGTTACAAAACCCATGCACTACAGCTCACTCAGTGCATCAGGGGATAGGAAAAGCCCCCATTCCTCTAGACTCCCAACTGCTTTATCTTTTAGAATTCTAACCTGTGTACCCGTTCCTTTCAGGTACTGTTTAATGATTCATGCCAGTGCAGCAGCTCCCATTCCTGCAGAGTTACAGAGGGTGATGCCCCTGATGGCTCCCACCCGTGTATAAGGACCTGGGAAAATCAGATTTATAGGAAAAGGGCCAGTTCCCACACAGGCATACTCAGGAACTTTCCACAGCAACCAAGTGAGTGTCAACCCCAAGAAGTACAGTTCAACAATCTAATTATTGAATAAAGGAGAGAGAGAGTGTGTGTGTGTTTTCTAACTAGAAATTGTTTGTTTTTTTGCAGGTAACAGGCTGATTGAAACAGATAAAACACAACCGCATTTTGTTAGTGTCCCAAACCTGCAGGAGAATAATGCGCACAGCCGAGATCAATGCAGGGTAAGCTTACTGATATCAATACTATCTCACACTGGCACTCTCCCTAATCCACAGGATATTACACATGTGCTGGATGTTTCAAAATCCAAAAAGCCTTAGATCAGCTTGGTTAGAGGCTGAGCTCAAAGAGTCTTGGTCAAGCACCAGTTCTCCTCTGCTACCATCATCTGTGTCAATGAAATTAGATTTGGCAGCACCACCTCAGTGAAATAAAGTGTGATTTATGCTTGGTCAGAGAATTTATAACCTATTGTAAAGTGGTAACTTTGATAGTTACTGGCTGAAGTTAAAGGAATAGTTGTGTTAAAAAAGGTATGCCTTGTACATTCGATTGTAAAAGGAGATACATACCAAAGATAAGGATAATGTCCACTAAATAGGTGTATAAAGGTTGATGTTACATGTAAGAAAAATACAATAAAACCATTGACATGTTGGTGTTAAGACTAGGGCTATAAATTGATCCGAAACGAAATGCTTCAATCAGTCACTAAAGCATGTATGGTGCTGCAATTTTTTGAGTGTGAATATAAAATAGTAAGTAATAGGTCCTAAATTTGCTGCTCAGCTCTTTATCCTTTATGTGGTTAAGAAAATGAGCATTGTTAAGTTCCTGGTACTTTTCCTGATTTAATAACGTAATATTGTTATTGGTATATTACGTCAAACTGTTCTTTTTGTACATTTTACAGGTAGAGGTTTCACAGTGGGACAAAATGAAGGATCTGATCTTCAAGCTATCACGTAAAGCTTCATCATCATCGGTGGGCTCGGCGTCTGCAAGCACTAGGCATAATTACAGGTAATAATTCTTTAAGTTGCCCAGGGAATGGTATCGTTAGACAATTGTTTCCCTTCCGACTTGTGAACTACACCACCCATAATGCTCTGCCAGCCTATGGCCAAAAGATTACTATGGGATATGTAATAAAATAGCACATGGAAAGCAACTGCTTGCAACACCCTGGTTTAACGTGTGTGCTTATATTGAGAGTAAAATCATTCCTCTATTCCGCATGAACCTACAGTCTTTATGATATATAGAATACTGATTTGGACTTATCCTAGTGGCATAGATGGCACACATCTTATTACACCCATCTGTCCATTTAACGTAACACATTTTCCCATAAAATAATAGTGGATAGTGGGAGGTGTAGAGGCCATGTCAAATTGTTTGGATTTATAACAAATCCTTCTCTCATCAGGTCACAGAATCATTCTGATGCTCCGTCCAATGCTCCTCGAAGACGTTTTCTTCCTGGCCTGGTCATTAGACCATCCCGCAAACAGGGACAGCAGTACCGGTGAAAAAGCTAAAAGATCTTTGCCTGGTGGATAACAAGCAAGGGAAGAAAACTGCCCATAAGAATGTATTAACACCCTGCTCACAATGCATCCAGCTGTTGTCAGATGAAATTGTCAGATGATGAGGATTAACAGCAGATTCAAGTTGGGTGCGGGACCTGACTTGACACATGGTGCACACAGCTTTGCCCAATTAATGTCTGTATTCAGTTGGGAAGTGAGTGCAGAGGAACATGTTATGATATGGAGCTAAAATGGACTAGGAGAAGTAACCCATTTCACTCAGTGATAATTTGAACTGGAGGACTGAAATACACAGAGGAGAAATGTTTATCTCACATTGTTTATAAACACCCATTGTTAATATTGTATATGTGTGTAATATGTAAATACAGATTAAGACTACCATATACATTTTTTTAATAACTATTAATTGTCTACATGGCCTTAAATTATATATGTTCTCATCTAAATTAAAAGCACGTTTCGTATTGTGAGTCTTAAGATGTTAATATACAGCTTAATATTCAAATTCCCTTACTATATCATAGCACCAATCACTTTGATGAGCTGTTTGTAAGGGAGAGGGATGGATGAAGGCTGAGAAAATCAAGGGTAGGGGAAAAATAGGAATTAATACACGATAGGCTGAAAATCACAAGAAAGGAATTAAACTGGCATGGGTAAAGCTATTAAACAGCAAGGTGTAGGACTGTTTAAAGGAACACTATAGGCACCAACACCACTTCATCTAATTGAAGTGGTCTGGGTGCACTCTCCTTAACCCTGCAATGGTTACTGTTATGAATGCTGGTGTAACGGCTACCCAGCTGTAGAGGGGTATCTGCCGTTGGAGATGTCCTTTTCTGTGCAAGCTGCTGTGTAGTAATAGAGTCCTTGTTCCCATCCACGATATCCCAGGGTATAATCCGGCAGTACTGTAAAATGAGGCAGAGTAACGGCACCATAAATCCCCTCCAAGAACGAGACGAGGCTACGTTTTGAAGGGTCAAGTAGAACTAACTTTTAATCACAGGGGATCTCTTTTTATGCAATGGTGCCCTCTGAGAGGCTACACCCACATAATTAGTAACACAGCCAATTACACACATGGTTCAACCCCCACGTCTCCTCCCCTCAGATAACATGTAACATAATTAAAACAGACATAAATTTACCCACATTCTGGATGTACCCCAAAAACAGGGGGTACACCTTTAAGTCCAGCACCGCTTAATAGCTACCACTCAGGGGAATAACATATTCAAATTTCAAGTCATTCGGTTGTGGGGTTCGGGAGTTATGGGTCTTTGAAGTTTTGACCGACCGCACAGGATTTTCAGCCGAAAAGAGTTCCACAAGTTTTGGCCTTGCGGTCGGTCCCCGTTCGTGAATAAAAACCCCACGAACCCCTTGCCCTCCACAGTAATCCTGCCGTTCGCCTGAATCCCCATGCATGCTTAAACAAAACTACCGAACGGCCGGTCGTTCGGTAGTTTCAGCACGAACTTACGAGCTCCTGGAGGTCTCAGCGGTGTTCGCCTGTTTGCGTATCCGTTTTTAGTTCCATGCGTTCACAGGCAAACACCGCCGTTCGTGCGTAAGATGGCCGCGAACACGTGTAAAGTCCCGAAATGGCGGCCACCTATTCTGAGACAAAGGGATTCGTCTGAACCATGCGAACGGCTCCACAATCACTGGGAGGTAAAATAGTAATTAACTGTTCCCCTGGGTGGTCTGATGTTCGGTATTTTGGGTAGCAATAGTTATACGAACACCAGTCATTCGGTTCTGTTTAAACTCCCCAGCAGCACTGTAGATTAAGTTCAGGCAAAACAGTACAGGGTTCTGTTACAGCTGGTATATCAGATACCCATTCATATTTGGTTCCTCCCGAACTGCCAAGAGCTGAGTGATTATAGCTTGAGGTTTGGGTATCAAGATGAATATTCTCCAGCTAGAATGCAGCAAACAAGAAGCCTTCCTCAGCAGTCAGTCATATACCCAAACATCAGCCTGACCTAGATGAAGGAATTAATTTATTCAGGCCAACTGGCTGGCTTTTTATGCAAGGCACAGGGTTTACAATAACCTATTCCAGGGGCATTCCCCACTGGACCTGAGAGGGCACAGGGACAAATAACATACGGTAGTTACATTGGCTCTCAGGTCCAGGACACTCCCACATAGAATACAATAATCTTTCCCCTTCACTTAGGAGATAATTGAGCCAAGTATTGTACTCAACTCAATTACCTCCAAACACAAAAAACACATTTTCACAAAACCCCAAAAGTGCTTTAAACCCCATGGGAACCCCACAAAAGTCATATCCCCTGATAACCCCGATCTGGGGGACCAACATATCCAAAAATCACTCAGATCGGTTCCGGGGTTTGTGAGTTCCATGGAAGTCATAATTTGACCGACTGCACACGAGGCTCCTGCCCAGAAAGAGTTCCATAAAATCAGACTGTGCTGTCGGTCTCTTTCGGGAAGTCCAAAAACCAAACAAATCCATGAATTGTTCCCCAGGTGCATAGGTAGCGTTTGTTCCCCTAGTTTGTGGGAACAAACCTACCGAACAGCGCTCTCCTGGCTGGTCGGTGAACAGAAGCAGGCGTTTGCTAAGTTTGACCGGCGTTCGGGAAGTTGAGTGTCCAATTTTAGTTCCAGACACTCAACAACCAAGTCCCGCTGCCTCTGTTTGTGCGACAAGATGGCCGCCATTTTCTCCAGCACGTGTGTTCGGTTATGCGAACGGCAGCCACACAGAGAGAGCACTTTATTCACCGTTTCAAAATACTGAAAAAACTGGGTATTTTCTTCACAGTTACATTGCAGGGTTAAGATTGCCTCTAGTGGCTGTCTTCCTAGATTTTACACAGAGTTTAATGGTTGGACGTCCTCACGCTTTGCATGAGAATTCAATGCTTTCCTATGAGGAAGGCTAAATACACACGCAGCACTTGCCGGTCATGTGCGTTAGGTTCCCTCATCACCGGAGGAGGAGGAGACGGATCCGGTGCTGAGGTACCTACGTACTGGAATCAGGTAAATTAATAAAATGGTTTTTAACCCTTTCATGACTATGTGGTTGGGAGGTGGAGGATTTACCATTGATCTGTGGTAGCAGCCATCTTTAAATCTTTAATTAGTTTGGTGTAAGGCTGCTCCGTTCACAGTTACTAGTCTGGTGTACTGCTTCTCTGGTCACAGTAACTAGTCTGGTGTAATGCTGCTCTGGTCACAGTTACTAGTCTGGTGTAAGGCTGCTCCTGTCACAGTTACTAGTCTAGTGTGGGGCTGCTCCTGTCACAGTTACTAGTCTGGTGTAAGGCTGCTCCTGTCACAGTTACTAGTCTAGTGTGGGGCTGCTCCTGTCACAGTTACTAGTCTGGTGTAAGGCTGCTCCTGTCACAGTTACTAGTCTAGTGTGGGGCTGCTCCTGTCACAGTTACTAGTCTGGTGTAAGGCTGCTCCTGTCACAGTTACTAGTCTAGTGTGGGGCTGCTCCTGTCACAGTTACTAGTCTGGTGGAATGCTGCTCTGGTGTAATGGTATCTGGTGGTTTCAGTGCTGGTAACTGATAGTGGTATAAAAAGGCCTGGTATCTTGATCAAGCCGGAGCTAGAACTATATTTCTTTCTTAATCTTGAGAGGACAATGCAAGTTGTTAGCAGTGTGTGCTTTGTGACTCACTTAGACATACCAAGAGTATGAATGGAGTTTAGAATGTTTATTTAGTGAAGACAGTTTTCATTTGTTGACTCAAGCACAATAATTGCTTGGACCACACCTAGAGAAAGCTCTTGAAAAGCTACCCATAATCCTCTAACACCCAGAAAGCTGTACATGATCATTTAACATCACTCAAATTGTTTTCTTGAAAAAATGAACACATATTTATGTGGAGTTTGATTATTGTATTAGGATAAGAGGGTACCACATGAGTCATATTGCATGATGCCTGCCTGCATCTCCTGGAGAGAGACAACAAGAATGGGAGCATGGTAGAGTACACAGGGGTATGGAGAGAGATGCAGAAGTGAGGGTTATAGGGAAAGACACAAAGGTTGTGAAGTGCATGGTGGATAAAAGAGAAGATACATACATTGGTGACTATAGAAGAGACAAGGGTTGGGGTCAGGGAAACTTGGTGAGCTAAATCAATGGTGTGTTAGGTGATAAGTGTTTATGGTTATTCAACTGCTTGCTGGGGTATGGTGTGAGAGATCAGAAATGTAAAGTTTGGGTAGGACATTAGGGCTATTGGAATGAGGTTTTGACAGGAAAGATGGAAGTAGGAATATAAGGCAATTTTTGAAGGGTACACAAGAGATATAGTTTTGGGATTGTGGGGGTTGTGGGTAAGGCTGGTGTAGACTATAAATTGAGTAGTCAAATGTGAGTGCTAGGACTTGGGAACTGGTGTTAGATTTGGAATTATGGGAATAAGGCTGGTGTATAGATTATGGGGATTAGCTGGGCAAAAGTAGATACATTAAGATAAATTGAGAGAATAAGGCTAAATGGGAAATATTAGGTTAAAAGTGTTTTGGTAAAAGCTAACGTTGCTGCAAGATAACTAGTTTTTTTTCCCAGCTCTGCATTTTTGAAAATACGATAAGAATCTTATACATAAAATGGTAAACAGATGGAGGCTATAATGATATTCAAGAGGGGGTGCTAATGTATCCCGCGGCACTCAACCATTGACAGGGATTGGGGGCTTAAATATTAATTTTAAAGGGGAGAATCTAATGTCCCTACAGTCCCCACCCGTTAGCGGTTGGTGGGTGCCCTAATTAAAATATTCAGGGGGAGGACCTAATTCCCCTAGCCCCCCACCCATAAGCATTGGGTGGGGCTTCTAATTAATTAAATAAGTGGTGAGGTCGACATGCTATTACCTGCCCCACTCCCAAAAAGTAGTATGTTCACCCTGCCTCTCCCTTTCCCCAGTGGTTAGGGGTCCCCAATCCCCTAGCCACCTTCCCTAAAAAAGTCTAAATATCTATCTACTATTATAAGGGGGCAATAAATCTAAACCTGTGAAAAAAATTATACTTACCATCTGAAATATTGTTTCTTTAAATTATTATGTTCTTCAGCCCCCAAAAAAGCCAAATAAAAATACATAATTCCTGACACAACTATTGAAAATAAAATTTTAAAAAGCCCAATAAAATTACAAAATAAACAAACGAAAAATTACAAAAGAATACAAGCAATGCCACATCCATCTACATTCATGAAGGACTCTGTGCCGACTATCCACTAATAGCGTTTAGTTGGCCTTATATAGGCTTGCCCACACAATGTCAGCTTTGCTATGCATGGGAACGCTTTGCAATATGAGGAAAAAATGCTGTTTGGTTGACTAATAAGTCAACCAATCAGAGCGCTCTGACAGCCAAGTCAGAGTGAGACTTCTCTACTCT